ATTCACTTAGGGACCAGACTGACCTTGGATTTGCTCTTCTTCTGCTTCCGCTTCCTAAAGACTGAGATTTCCCTTCATTTTTTTTCTCTACAGTTATGCTGTTACTCAGCCACTCTCCTGGCCTCTGCTGTGTTCTCCTGGGCCATTAATCCATGTGCTCACTAAACCCGTCTTCTTACCGGTGTTTGTGCACGATGGCATTAAAGGCCAGCCCATCTCTCCAACTGGTGGTAAAGTTGTGCACATTGACATTGGGATACCTAGAAAGAAAGATCAGGAAAAAACAGTGAGTGCTTCAGAGCCCTGGCCTGTGATAAAAGGACAGTGGGCAGGTTGTGAACCCAAGAGTCTATCTCAGTGTGGCCAATCTCGATAGCCATGCTCCTGGATCCTCACCCTGCGGTCTTCATCTGGCACCACAGCAGCAGGGCGTCCTTGGCTGACTTCTTCTCCTTGTTGTCTTCTGTCTCCACACTGATGTCTTGGATCTGAGAATGTAGCAAACAGGACCTTCACTCCCCATTGGTATCTTGGTTATATCAGAGACACTCAGAAAAACTACAGAAAACTGATCTTTAGGAATGTTGTGTGATGGGACAGAATCTGGGCCTGTATTTCCTGGGCTAGTAACACATATTATCAGGTTCAGAGGATCTGAAGAAGGATGTCAGTGGAGCGGAAGTACCCATGAGTAAGGGAGCTGGTTCTTCCAGGTGGAGAATATGAGCAGGGGAATCAATGTTTTCTGAGAGCTGGCTTTCAAAGTCAGAGCTGAAAGAGCTCTGCTTTGGGTGAAAGAGGGAGAGAGCAGCTGGGGAAGGACAATACAGTTAGAGGAGCTGAGATGACATTGAGCTAAGTATAACACGGAAAGTGACACCCCCCCCCCATCAGCTGCATGGGTATGCTTCAAGGGCAAACTGCTCTAGGAAGTTCTATATGCTCAATTTTTAAATTTATTTATTATTTTATTTTTATGTGTAGGGTGCTTTGTCTGTATGTTTGTCTGTGCACCGTGTGTGCCCGGTGTTCTCAGAGGCCAGAAGAAGGTATTAGATCTCCTAGAACTGGAGTTAAAAGTGGTTGTGAGCTGCATATGAATACTGGGAATTGAACCCAGGTCCTCTGGAAGAACAGCCTTTATAGTTCTTTTAACTCTTGGGCCAGCTCTCTAGCCCCTCAATTTTTGTTTTTATCTTGTCATGGACCATCAGCGTGGGGGTATAAAATTTGTTGGTGCACAGCGCACACCTTAGATAACACCTGGAGGATACCTGGAATCGAAGGATGATGGTCCACACCAACCCAAGGGTCAGACGGTGGTTCCCATCCACGATATCATGGGAGCCCATGTTTTCCAAGTGTACTTTCTGCTCCTTCAGGAACTGCAGTGCTTTGTCCACGTTCTCCAGGCAGTGAATCCGCATCCGGCCCTTTGTGGGCTTTGGCTGTGGGTGGATGGCAGACAGAGTGGCAAGGACCACTGCTTGCTTTCTTCCCAGTTTCCTCAGCAACCTGCCCCATACCTCCCATGATCTCCTCTGAGAACACAAGGATAGCCCTAGGGTCATGCCAGAGGTCATGGAGCCCAAGCAAGGTTACAGATGAAACTTGGGCAGATTAAGATTCCCAAGGGAATTAACTACACCCAGAAGAAATGTTTTCAATGGGGCCACTGTTGGTGTCTCTGCAAAGCATGGCTCCCATGTAATCTGTGTAGCAAAGCCTCTTGGAATGAGACCATCCTCTAGTCAGAGGAACCCTGGTATGTTGCTCAGCGCTCTATGGCCCCCCTGTGGTTTGTTCCCTGAAGCTCCCTCTTTGTCCACTGCCCCAACTCACCAGGGTCTCTCCCGAGAGCACCTCCAGGAGCCTCAGGAGGTTGCGCCCGTCCCGCAGGTCGCTGTACAGGTCTCCCACCCGGCATGTCACCCGGGCCAGGTGGGAGTTCACCCACTTGGTGAAGGTTTTCTTCTGCACAGCTTCTCGTTCATCTGCAGTAGTAACAAGGAGTCATTTCTGTCCTTCAAGAACAGTATGCTTGCTTCTAAACACCAACTGGCATGGTGTGGGATGGGGTGCCTGAGAGAGTAGAAGTGACAGCTGGGATCGGCAGGGTTAGGGATGACCAAGAGAAAAAATGCTAAGAAATGAAGAGGCTGGGATGAGCTCATGAGCAAAAGAAAGGGTAAGAGGAGCAAGACAAACCCTTCAATCCCAGATAGAGACAAGAGGATCTCTGTGAGTTCAAGGCCAGCCTGGTCTACAGAGAGAGTTCTAGGACAGCCAAGGCTACATGGAGAAACCCTGTCTCTGAAAACAAACAAACAAACAAAAAGGAAAGTCAAGACAGACAAAAATGGCCTCAAGAAGAAATGCCCAGGAAGGGACTGGGGTTGGGCTTTGTGCTGTAACAGAGATGAAATACTGACAACTTACTCAGAGCTTCAGTTTCCCTACTTGTAGGATGAGCATATTACTTCCTACTTTATTGGGTCACTGTAGCAATTAAATGAGATACTGGGTATGACACATTTCGTGGTTGTCCAGTGTGATGTGGCTCCCTGTTGGGGAGCTTCTCCTTCTCCTTCAAATGTGGCCAAGGGAGAAGATGTGGTCTGTAAATATGACACATCTCCCAGATGGTCAGCAAACTGGACTTGACAGTGGAGAGGTTGTGTGGGCCTTTAAGGCAGCTCCCTGTTTCAGGTCATGTACAGATAAGGTAGGCTACTCCACCCTGAGGCAGGGTTGCACAGTTGGCTATAGTGGATCCAGACCTAGAACACCAATACCCCAAGATTCAGAAAGAATTTATAAGAATTTAGGCTAGGCATGGTGGTACATGCCTTTAATCTTGGAAGGCAGAAGCAGGCCTATCTCTATGAATTCCAAACCAGCCAGGGCAGATCTCAACAGACAGTGAGATCTTACCTCAAGCAAAAACAAACACAAACAAACAAACAAGAACTTGTAAGTTCACTGGCGTTGGTGGCACACACCTTTAATCCCAGCACTAGGGAGGCAGAGGCAGGTGACTCTCTGTGAGTTCAAGGCCTGGTCTACAGAGTGAGTTCTAGGACAACCTCCAAAGCTACAGAGAAACCCTGTCTCAAAAGTCCAAACAACAACAACAATAAAGAACTTGCAAGTTTAAGGGAGCAATGCAGGTGGAGTTGAGTGCCAACTTTCAAGAGAGGTAGGCAAGGCCAGGAAGCCTAGTCCCCAGAGGACTCCTAACAAAGGATGCTGTTAGGTTGCACAGGAAACTGGTGACTAAAAATGTTGTAAATGGAAAGGGACAGGCAAGCTCTGCACTGTAAGCTACTTTATAGAGGTCGGAGAAACCCTGTGGGAACCCAGCCCCAGTAGTACTTGTGTAGAGTCACATTTACCTCCATCTCAGCACCAGCACCTCAGAAATCTAGATTCATACCTTAGTTTCATGTTCCTGTGCACCTCCCCCATAAAACAGCCACACACCCAAGTCTATTCCTGACTTTCTCACCTCCAATTTCTGTGCCTATGCCAAACCTGGGATCCTAATCACCATGTGGGATACCCCCTAGCATTTGTGATACCTATGGTGACTCTGGACCTCTTTTAGGGTCCCAGGCCCTATATGAGTTGAGGACAGATTAAGTCATCTGACCATTACTGAACCCAGGGAGACCTCTCTGACACCAGGCAGGCCGGTGTGAGGCACATAGGTAGACTAAAGTGGAAACAGTACTTAGAAAGTCCTGGTGAAGCCAGACACCGAAGTGTAGCATTTTAACACACACACCATGAAATAAACTTTTGTGCCAAGATGAACATTCCTATTCAGACACCTATGGGACCTGTGTGTACGTACAAACCCTCTCCTTTGCCAGGTGTTGGTGGCGAACGCCTTTAATCCCAGCACTCGAGGCAGACGGATCTCTATGAGTTCAAGGCCAGCCTGGTCTACAGAGCGAGTTCCAGGACAGCCTCCAAAGCAACAGAGAAACCCTGTCTCAAAAAAAAAAAAAAAAAAAAAAGCCCACGAAAACAAACAAATGCTCTCACTTGACACACGCTCTCCATTTTTCTACACATCCTTCCATCATAGTTATTCAGAAGCCCAGGAAAACACATAAAAGTTCAAGGTCCTAGGCCTCTAGCCCATTCCCCCTTCCTCATTTCTTAACAAGGCCAGCATGGCCAAACCATGAGGGTGAGCCGCCAGGGGAGACTGCTACGACCTCTCTAACTGATGACATGAACCCACAAGCTCCCTTCATCCTCATCACCTTTGTACCCAGCAGGCACCTCAAGGTCACACCCCTTATGCCACCCCCACCCCAGGTCTCATTCAGTGGAATTTCAGCCGTCCACATGTCTAGATTCCCTGTAAGTTTCGCCACATTGTCCCTGAACATAAACACCTGAGAAACAGGGTTCCGGGCATGCTAGCTCTTCCTATGCCAAGTCCCCTTTGGCACACAGGCTCCCCTCTGCCCTGGGAAACTCACCTTGAAGCTGTTTGAAGCGTCCTTCCAGCACACTGGCATACTGAGCAGGATTGATGAAGGCAGCTGGTGAGAGCAGGACGCCCCCAGGGTTCTGAGACCCTTCCACAGCCTCATAATAAAACTCACCAGCCCCGTTCAGGCCATTTCCATGTATCCTGCCCACTCCGTTCCCACTCATGGTGCTGGCTACCTCCTACTCAGCCTGTGGCCCAGAGTCCATGCTCCCCTGCCAGGGCAGGGCCAAGAGTGTGTGTCCCCTGAGCCTGTGCAGGGGATCCAAAAAAAAGGCTTCCGTACCTGGCTGGGTGGAGTTGTTTCAAGGATGCTGGGAGTTTCAAGGAGTGGGGGGGGAAAGTTATGGGATGCCTGAGTTCTGAGACAGTGAGTAGGGCACACCTGGTTGTGGGGAGAGGAGACAGAGGCTGCTCCAGACAAACAGGTCGGACAGTGGCGGGGGAGGGGCACGCGGCTCAGGAGGCGGAGCCAGTTGGGGCTTGGCCAGGCCCTGCAGGGGCGGAGGAGGGAGTTGCCAGCACTCAGAGACCTGCTTGTCAGGCCACTAGTTGCCCAAGACTAGAGGAAACCTGCCAGAGGGGGCCCTAAAGCAAACTCCTGCTTTCAGAAGGTCTGCCTTGGGCAGGCCTCTCTGGGCGTCTCTGGGTGGGCTTGTTTCAGGACACCTGAACTTTGACCTCAGCCCCTGAGAACAGAGAAAACGGAAGCAAGGAGATCCTGGAAGAGAAACCTGGTGGGCTCCTGTTGACTTCTATGGCCTCCTCTAGGGAGTAAGTATTGTGAGTGTCCTCCAGCATTTTCCTTTGTCCCCCAGGCTTCCTCAGTCAACATCCCAGCCCCATACACCCTAACATTGGGTACAACTACGAGATGCCCTTCCTACCTCTTCCTGGGCTTCTGCTTTGTCACTGGCAGCCTACACGTGTTCCTCGTCATCCTGAACCACTTAGGATTTTTTTGGCACCGACTGAGTCAGTGGCACTGTGCACAGCGAAGCCCATTCAGAGATGCCTCTTCGGCAGGCAGATCTCTGTGAGTTCGAGGCCGGGCTGGACCGACCGATAGCCTCCAAAACAATACCGAGAAACCCTGTCTGGTAAAAAACAAAACAAAACAAAAAAAACCCAGAGATGCCTCTTCGGGGGAGCCGGCCTCGAGCAGGGATAAACACCTGACAAGAGCACTGGGTGGTGTGTGCATATGGTGACAGCTCTGATCGGCGCAAGTCTTGTGTGCAGAGTTGACAATATTGGGGCGTATGTGTCACATGCTTAGACACGGCAGCAGCACTGGGTGGCATGTGGCATGCGCACAGACATGGTGAGAGTAGTACCTGTCACATGAGCTAGACCTGGAAGATTTACTGGGTGGCATATAGCATGTACACACAGATATAATGATGATCACATTGATTGGGATGTGACCTGTACAGACACAGTGACAGTTCCGGGAGGTATGTGTCATTGCTGATATCATCAGAGTTTGGGGTAGCATGTGCACAATGACATCAATGATAGTACCAGAGGATACACGAATCTAAAACCAGGGAGCTAGATACACTTCCCTAAAGACATGACATTTTCCGTACCCCACATCCTCTGAGTTTTCATCAGCCAGTCTTCAGTCCCAGCCAGGAAGATGCCAAGAGAAAGTGATCCATGAACCCTACAAGCTGTAGCCATTATCTGGTGCTGGGCTGGCTGAGTATAATTTCCTGGGAAAGCTCTTAAGAATCATGAGTTCTGAACTATATGTCTAAAGGTTCTTAAGTTCATCTCCCTTGAGAACCTGCATTTGTAAAAAATCAAGGCCTCCGAATCTCTTCTGCTGGGAGCCACCCTACTGGGCGATCACTCCTTAAGTGGAAGTAATGGTCTCTCGTATTGGAACTGGCTGGGCCATGGGCAGGTCAGCAGCTATGAAGAGGGTGGGATGAATGTGGAAGGCAGATTGGGTGGGTGGCCTTAGGGTGCGTGGGTGACTCAGTCCCAAAACTGGTGGTGTCAGGTGGCAGCTGCACTCTTGTTGCCATGACCCCCCCCTCCCCTCGGGAAGGCCTGTCAGACTGGTTTGTTTGTGCCCAGCACAGCTAAGGGGAGAGCCCTGGCCATAGGGGAGGGCGGGGTTGAGGTGGGGTGGGTGGAGAGCAAACCCTGGGAGAATGGAAGGGCGGCTGCTAAGAGAACTGCTTCAGGGAACAGGTAAATAAAATAGTAGGAGTAGCAGGCTGCAGGTAGCAGGACAGGTGGGAAGAGTGGCAGGAAGATAATAGGGCCGGACGGAGAACAGATGTGGGACAGTAGAACTAAGGGAGGGGTGGGTGGGGACAGAAATGACAACTGGAGTAAAAAGACAAAGCACTATAGGGACAGAGACCTGACTCAGGGCTTAGGCCATGAAAGTAAGCTTATCCATCCAGCTGGGCACTTCCAGCTGGGTGGCATCTCTGGGCTAGGGGGAGAAGGAAGCTGAGGAATGCTGTACTTGTATGAAGGGGTCTGCATCTGCTGCAGAGCAGCAGCTTAGAAAATGACGTCAGTCTTCCTTCTCATGGAGACAGAAGATTCTGCCTTCCGAGCTCATGAACCCATCTCCACCAATCTCATCACCCCTCTGCCCCTCCCTGCCCTTCCTTACCTGCCAGGGCCTTAATTCTGGACCTCTCAAAGAGGCGGGCTGAACTGCTGTCATTGTCCCAATCTGAGTCGGGCAGGTCCCAACGGTTGTTGATGTCACTATACTGGCCCTGGATCTCCAAGCTGTCGAAGTCTGTGGGTGACAGAGTGCTGCTCATGGTGGTGGGTGGCTTCCTGTTCCTACAAGAAGACATGGCTTGTGAGGAGCACCTTGGAGATACTGAGCCTGCTGCTCATGATGTCCTTCTTTTTGTCTTTTTTTTTTTCCTCCCTTCCTTTCTTTCTCTCTCTTCCTTTTCTTTCTTCTTTTTTGTTTCTTTTCCAGACAGGGTTTCTCTGTGTAACAGTCCTGGCTGTCCTGGAACTTGCTTTATAGACCAAGCTGGCCTCGAACTCAACAGAGATCCACCTGCCTCTGCCTCCCAAGTGCTAGGATTGGAGGCATGCACCACCACCACCAGGCAAGTACTAGGTTTTGAAGCAAGATTCTTTCTGACTTTTTAAAAAGAGCATCTTGCCCAATTCCACCCCTCCAAAAAAAAAAAAAAAAAAAAACTCAGGCCCAGCACTCAGGAGGCAGAGGCAGGCAGGTCTATGTGAGTTCAAGGCCAGCCTGGTTTACAGAGCAAGTTCCAAGACAGCTACTAGAGACTACTCAGAGAAACCCTGTCTTGAAAGACTTTTATTTTACGGCTATGGATGTTTTGGTACATATTGTGTGCCTTATATTTCCCTGGAACCAAGCAAGGCCAGAAAAGGATGCTGAATCCCCTGAAGCTGGAGTTACAGGTAGTCATGAGCCACCATGTGGGTACTGGGAACGGAACCTGGGTCCTCTGAAAGAAACACCACTGCTTTTCATCACTGAGCCACCCTTCCAGCCCCTCTAATTCTTCATCATAGTTTCTGGTACAGACAACATTAACATCTCCCCTGACCATCCTGGGGTCCTTAAGCAGTGCCCTGAGGGATTAGCACACATCCCAGGGTTCCATGACCTAGGCTACGGTATCTGTATAATTTTTCTTGCCAGTACTATTTATGACCTTAACTTAAGCAAACACACTCTGTCCTTGCTTCAGATTAGCTGCTGGGGATTTTTTTGAAAGTCTGTAAGGTCCAAAGTTCTGGTGTAAAACAACATTTACTCACCACTCAAGGGGATAGGGAGCATTGAGTTGTAACTTTAACAGAATTCTAACTCCCACATTTTCTCAATATCTGTCCAACACAAGACAGTTTAAACTAATGAACTACTTCATCTGGATGGTGGTGGTGCACACCTTTAGTCCCAGCACTCAGGAGGCAGAGGTGGGTGATCTCTGTGAGTTCGAGGCCAGCCTGGTCTACAAACTGAGTTCCAGGACAGTCAGAGTTACACAGAGAAACCCTGTTTTGGAAAAAAAATACCTGATCTGGGGAAGAAGGAGGTGAGTAAAAGTCCTGTGGATTGGGGGAGGCTGGATGGTGAGACTCTAGGTGGGAAGGATTGTGCGTTCACATGGGCATACAAACGCAGAACTTACCAACCATCATCAGCTGGTTCCAAAGAGCTAAACATAGCCCTCTCTAAGTGCCTGCCTAGTCAACCCTGCCTCGTGCCAGTATTTTCCTGGGAGTAAAATGAAGAAGATATGTTCTAGTTTCCTTTCAGCTGCTGTTATAAAACCTCTGAGGATTTATTGGCTTATATTCTCAAGTTGTAGTCCATCACTGAGGGAAGTCAGGACAGCAACTCGCAGGAGAAGCAGAAACCAGAGGACTGCCCTGCTAGCTGGCTTCCTTTTAGGAACATGCTTAGTTGGCTTTTTAAAAAAATACATCCCAGAGGCTGGGCAGGGGTGACACATGCCTTTAATCCCAGCACTCGGGAGGAAGAGGCAGATCCCTGTGAGTTCAAGGCCAGCCTGGTCTACAGAGTGAGTTCCAGGACAGGCTCCAAATTTGTAGGGACACCCTGTCTGAAAAAAGCAAAAACAAAACATATACCTCAACACCACCTGCACAGGAATGATGCTGTGCACAGTGAGCTGGAGCCTCTTATATCAATAACAATGCAGACAGGCCCCGACAGACATGTGCACAAGCCAGTCTCCTTTAGACAACTCACTAATGGAGTTTTCCTCTCAGATGACTCGAAGGTTTATCACACTGATAGTGAAAGCTAAGTAGGCCAAGTTGTGAAGAATAAAGGCCTCTAGTTCCCAGATTTGGTCTTTCATTACCCTATAGATGGGCAGGGAATTTAATTTCTACTAGACCTAGGACTTCTTTCCCATCACTTTCTACCAACAGAGTCACTGGATTTGCTCTGTAAATATTTATATAAAACTGAATTGTAGGGCAGAGTTGAATCACCCTGAGCAAAGAACACTATAAGCCAGGCATGACCTGAACCTGTCACCTAACACTTTTGGTTTTTGAACAAGAGAATAGAGACTCAGAAGCACTGGCCTTGGCCCTACTCTGTATTTAAAATCAAAATCTCCTAACCAGTCAGTCAGTGATAATGCACGCCTTTAAACCCAGCACTCGGGAGGCAGAGGCAGGTGGATCTCTGTGAGTTGGAGACCAGCCTGGTCTACAAGAACTAGTTCTAGGACAGCCTCCAAAGCCACAGAGAAACCCTGTCTCGAAAAACCAAAGGAAAAAAAATCTCCTAATCAGCAGCCACTCTCAGTTCATCTGAAGGAAGGGTGTTAGAACCCAAACAATCTCACCATCCAACAAAAGCACCTGCATATGACATCCAGTTTCCCCTCATTAGTTTATTATACTATTTTACTTTTTTTAAAAAATGGTTTCTCTGTGTAGCTTTGGAGCTTGTCCTGGAATTTGCTCTGTAGACCAGGCTGGTCTTGAACTCAAGAGAGATCTGCCTGCCTCTGCCTCCCAAGTGCTGGGATTAAAGGAATGCTCCGCTGCCACCGACAGGCTTAAAGTGTGTAGCTCAGACTGACTTCAAACTCCTGATCCTCCCACCTCTGCCTCCTTCAGCAAATCCTTTCGGCATGCACCACACAACCGGCTATTTTCCTTTTATAGGGGGAAAAACCCACTACAAGCACCATTTCTGTGCCTTGACAGCTTTTAAACATTCTAGCTCTGGACCCCACATCATCATGTACAATTTGTTTTTCTGTGTTCCAGCAGCTGCCAGCTTCACAGTCTTACAGTTTTCTGCTTGAGATTTTCCTACCCAGATCATGCCTTACATATGACCTGGGTCTCCATACTCACACAGAATTCCAGCCAATCCCCAGCCACATGACTGCCATCCCCCTTCAATGGAGAATCCTCAATTTTATTCTCCTCCAAGGATTCCTACACTCTGGCAGAAGGGAGGTGCCACCATTAATTCTTAGCCACTGACCTCAGCCAGGACCAAGAAGCTTATGTGGTTGGTTAACGTCAGAATAGTGTTATCTCCCACTAGCTTCAGGCCAGAGGTTTTGCTAGAACCTATGCCCACCAAGTACTACAGGGTGTAGACTCTGCTTAGCCACGGGTTGGTCCTGTAGGCAGTTGGGCCCTCTCACTTTCCTCCATTGGCACTGGTTTGAAAAACTAGAAACCTATTTCCTGTCCTGCCTTGTCCTCTGATTCCTCCTCTCACCACATCCTGCTCTAGATTAATTCTTTACCTGCCTTAGAGAGTGATCCTTCCTTCTCCACCCCCCCATTCAGCACTCTGAATGCAGCTGTCACTGTGCTTATCACATTTATGATCGTTAGCTGTTTATGTCTCCGCTTGTTCCAAGCTTAACTCCTTGAGAAGAGACAGGGACATCTCTCCTTGTGTCTCTGTCTCTGTGTGTGTGTGTGTGTGTGTGTGTGTGTCTCTGTGTGTCTGTGTCTGTGTGTCTGTCTGTGTGTCTGTCTGTGTGTCTGTCTCTGTCTCTGTCTCTGTCTCTGTCTCTGTCTCTCTCTCTCTCATTTCTTCCTGGGCCCAGAATAGGTATTCAATAAAAAGATATGACATGAATTCAGCATAATTCTTATTTTGGTCACTGGATCAATGTCTTCCTTATAGGTGAAGAAAACACTCGTAGAAAGAATGAAGATGGGAGGATGCCTCTCCACCAGAGGACTTTCAGGGCTAAGCACCAAACATCCAACCAAGGAGTTGCAAATACAAATCACATGGCCTGAGTGCTGGACCACTGAAACAGATCACTGCCTCCCTCCACACCTCACTTCTAGTATGGCAGATCTGGAATGGGCCTGGGACTTTGCATATCAAATTCATTAAAAGATGCTCATGCGCCAGGCGTTGGTGGCACATGCCTTTAATCCCAGCACTCGGGAGGCAGAGGCAGGTGGATCTCTGTGAGTTCGAGACCAGCCTGGTCTATAAGAGCTAGTTCCAGGACAGCCTCCAAGGCTACAGAGAAACCCTGCCTGGGGGGGGGGGATGGTCATGAAAGACTTGTACTCAGAGGACCACTGAGCAAGCAGCGGGGACTACTTAAAGAAGCTCTGAGGACTGAGAACGTTTCAGGGGTGAGTGTGACTGTAGATGGCTTCTGAGTGTGTGCAGGCCTTGTCTGGAGGGAGCTAAACTAAATATCTTCTCCCTCTCAGGACAGGAGCCAGAGCCCCAGGCTACAACAGAGGAAAAATGAAGATGAAATGGGCTCTAGCACAAATCAAACTGACGGATACCGAGAGGAAGGAGGGCAGAGTTAAACATTACTTGAGAAGTCAGAGTTGAAAAAATGACCACAGGGTGAATAATACATTAGGACTCAAAGTATAAATGGATGGATTGGCAGGGAGAGAAAAGGGGACAGAATCACAGTGAAATCCAGGGTGTTTACGAAAGCAGAAGAAAGAAGTTCCAGAACGGATAAGAGGAGAAGAAAAACAAACCCCTGCCTTTCCCCAAACAGTGTTCTTAATAAAGCTCAGGGTTCTGCTGTGAGGGATTTGGAACTGGGCTAAGGAGAGGGTTTTTCGTTTTCTCCTTTAGAATCTGCTATTTAGGCTGAGCATGGTGCTGCACACCTGTAATCCCAGCACCCAAGAAACTGGCAGGAAGATCATCTGGTCTAAAACCTAAATAAATAAAAAATCTTCCACCCGAGGCATAATTATTCAGATTCATTCCCCCTCCCTTACCACCCCCGTCCCTGAGCGTGAGCTTACATCAGTTCCTTTACCAGAAAAGTCTAAGCTCCATCTTAGCTCTTCCCTCACCATGATCCTGTGCTCTTCTCAACATGCCAAGAGGTTGCCCCACGATCAAGCAGAGATACACACATGGAACTCACTCTGCTCTCTTCACCGTCAAGAGAAACAGGGTTGTGGATAGCGACTGACAATGCCTACAAGCAGAGACTCTCAAAACTGGCATTGTAATGGGGGCAGCAGCTGAGAAACAGCCCACGGAGAAATCACGTTAGGACAGGGGCAAGCCTGTATCTCAGACAAGCATGCAGTGTCATGGGGATCCTGGGGTGCGGAAGGCTGGAGCCGGAGTGGTTGGTGTAAATGGATGGTGGAACTGGAACCCCAGCTAGGCAACCCAGCTGGATAGCTGTATGATAGGCAGACTCCACAGCCCTGTAAATGTACTGAGCCCCAAAACACCTTATACAACGCTTCCTCACAGCAGAAGAGGTTTCATCCTCTCTGGCAGCTACAGTCATCTCCACCAATCGTGTCCACTTCTCATACCAATGTGAGACCTAAAGGGCAGCACGGAGTTAGCCACCACAGAGGTGAGGAAGCCCCATTGCCAGGGGCCAATAAGCCCCACGAAGCCCCATAGCCAGCTGCCAATAAGCTGCAGAGCTGGAGGAAGACGGGTGTTCCCAGGCCCGGGACAGACCCGAGCGCATCCCCAGTCCTACGCAGACCGGTCCACCGCAGGAACCGACGCACCAGGAAAAGCCTGCGCTGCCAGACGCGCTCAGAGCCCAGGCGACCCCGATCCATCAGCGCGTCTGTCAGCCCAACTCTTCCAGACTCTTCTCTGCGCTCCATTGAGGTCCGCGTGTCACAAGCCTCAACCCCCACGGTCTTCAGTAGTACCTGGCTGGCCAGCACAGAACCCGGGCACTCGCCGTTGCATCCTCCCTCCCAGGGTCCCCAGGACCGACCCCGCCGCCTGCATGCGGCCGCACAAAGCGCTCCTCCTTACCGGCCGGGACAAAGCGGGCCGGGTCGCCGGCAGCACCTACCTGGGTGCGGAGCGCCTGCCGGGTAGCGGGAGCGTGGCTGGTCGGGGCGCACTAGTAGTCGCCGCGCCCACAGCCGGGTCGCGAGGGGTAGTTGCGGGCGGTCACAGGCGGCGGCGGAGGGGCGGCCGCGGGGCGCTCGACAGGCGGGCGCTGTCACAGGGCGCGAGCGGCGCGGGGGGCGCGCGGGGCCGGCGGCCGCGGGGCGCGTGGCGGCTGCGCGCGGGCGCGAGCGGCGGGACTGCGGCGCCGCGGAAGGAGGACAATAGCCTCCCCCTGCCGCAGGCCGCCGGCTCCCGCGGGAGGCCCGGGACCATCTGCAGCTCGCGGGCCCCGCGGGGCTTGGGGCGGGGCACGAGGCACCCCCTCCCCGTCCGGCACCATGGCAACTGCGGCCCCTCTAGGTTCCTACAGTGGTTCCCTGGCCGGGGGTCGCTGACCTTCCCCGGGGCAAATTCAGGACGGCCGCTCCTCTGCCGGCTCCCGACCCCCCACGGTCTTCCGCGTGGACGCCCTACTTGACCCCCACCTTCCGGTCCTTGCCTGCCCCACGACACCTCTTGGGCATCTGGATACCACCCACAGTTAACGGGGCTCATTCTTCCCAGTTTGGGCACTCCACCTTTGTCTCTGACTCGCCTTTGCTGGGATGCGCAGTCCTTTTAATGTCACTCACCTCCGAGGTTTCCCCGAGATGCGGCCTCCGTTTCCGTTTCAAATGTCCCTTTTTGGGCACCTCCAGGCCATCTCGCTTAAGCGTTTCTCTCTGCCTCGCCCCCCTTCTCTCGTCCTCCTTCCGGCAGGTAGGCTGGCCCGCTTTCCAAAAGCATCTCCATGGTGCTCCTGGAGATTTGCCTTCTCACAGATCAGATTCTCGGAACCGTCATCACAGCGGCTCCTCAGCTCCTCTCATTTATCAACCAGGAGAATTCTGGCCTAGTCACTGTCTTAAGGGGGTTGGGGGCAGGGATGGACATTTCTAGGCCTGGCACGGCTGGATTTCTTCTTGGTTTATTAGCTGCTGAGTGGTCTATGGTTTAATGGCTTAGCCAAGGTGAGCTGCTATCTGCTTAGGAGAGGAAGGAAATATGCCCAAATCAGAGCAAATGCACAGAGTGGGTGCTCGCAGTGGGTGCTAAAAGTGCGCTATGTCATGTGACACTCCCACCCCCACTCCAGCTCTGAAAGTACTGTTCTTCCAGATTGGAGAGCTAAGCTCCGGGAGGAACCAGAAAGGGGGAAGGGGGGCTAAAACCAGGATGGATTTTGTAGAGCCTTTGGGTTATATACTCCAGAGAAGAGGTAGGCCCCTTCAAACCTGGGGAGTGTCTGAAATGGACAAGTAAGGCCAACAAAAAGAATGCTTGTTCAGTGAATTATTAGGCTTAAGGTTTTTATAATGGCTTTATTGTTAGTCAGATTTTAGCATTTTGCTTTTTTCTGGAAAGATGCATAACTAAGACAGTTACATGTATGATTTTCACACATGGAATCGCTGTACTAAATGTACTTTTAAAAATCTGCAAGGTAAAACACAATCCTGTTACCACTACTAAACAGTTGCATTGCTTCACTTATCTGGCCTTGGTTTTGTTAAAGACTGCTATTCTGACCTGAGATTCTACTATTAAACTGGAATTTAGCCTTCTCTGGTACAGCTCACTGTAAGCTGTAATTCGGGTATTTATGATTTTTTAAAAAAGTCACTTGTGTTGGGTGTGATACACCTTTAATCCCAGCACTTGGGAGGCAGAGGCAGGCAGATCTGTGTGAGTTCAAGACCAGCCTGGTCAACAAAGGAGTTCCAGGCCAGCCAGGACTACAAACAAAATAAACAACAACAACAACAAAAAACCCACATCACTCTTCTTCAGGCAATGGAATCAAGATAGGACACAAGCTTCTACTGTCCCCAGAGGTCAAAATATTCCAGATGTTCAGGAAGAGAAGCCAAGGTGTACATAATGGTTATTGTGGAAACTTGGCCAAGGACATTAAAATTGATGATGGGATGGGAATTAGCTGACCACCAAACAAACTGGAAACCATTTATTGTTGCTGCTCATAATTATGGGAACTGTGGCCATTGGGAGGGGGCAAGGGTGTCATTAGGTCTTATGATTGACATAAATAATAGCTTTTATAGATTAATTTCCCATTTTCAGCAGACCTTTTAAAAAGCCTTGTAAGATGAGCATTCTCATTTTTTTAAAGATTTATTTATTACATATACAGCGTTCTGCCTACATGCCAGAAGAGGACACCAGATTGAATTGTAGATGGTTGTGAGCCACCATGTGGTTGCTGGGAATTGAACTCAGGACCCCTGGAAGAGGAGTCAGTGCTCTTAACCTCTGAGCCATCTCTCCAGCCCCGAGCATTCTCATTTTTATCCTTAATTTATTGATGGGAAAAATGTTATTTAGACACCTAAGTGGAAGTCCATGTTAACAGAATCAACTCACAGTGGACTCCTTATCTTCTAATCCCTAGTCTGTTCAGAGCAAGAGGATGGCAGAATAATTAAAGTGTAGATTTGGAGTCTGGGGTAGCTCAGTGGTAGATCACTTGCCTAGCATGCACAAGGCCTTGAGTTTAATCCCTAGCACCAGAAGGAAGGCAGCACTGGTTTGGGGGCTAGACCCCTGAGATTAATATCTAGTTAGGAGCTGTGAGTGGTGGTTCACACATGTTATTCAAGCAATCAGGAGGCTATAGCTTGAAGGTTACAAGGACTGTCTCAAAATAAATAATAAATACAAACCAGTTTTGTTGTACAACCTTAGATATGTGTTTCCCTTTTTTGTGACTGAGTTTTCTCACTTGTAAAATGTGAGGATCGAAGCCAGGCATTGGTGGTGCACGCCTTTAATCCCAGCACTGGGGAGGCAGAGGCAGGCGGATCTCTGTGAGTTTGAGGCCAGCCTGGTCTACAGAGCAAGTTCCAGGACAGGCTCCAAAGCAATACAGAGAAACCCTGTCTCGGGGAAAAAAAAAAAAAAAAAAGGTGTGAGGCCCGAGTAAATTATTGCAGGTAAAGTGTTAGAACAGTCTTCTGCCCACAGTCATGCTTACTCCATGGCAGCC